TAATAACACCAAGCAAAGAGCTGAAACACAACTCGTTTAAAGCCTTCCGCAAGTGAAGAAAGTGACGTTTTTCAACAGGCTGCTGCGGAGCAGGAGGCAGCAGCCGGGGCAAGCGCCTCCCGGCCCGGTGCACGCTGTGCAGCGCGGCGCTGGGAGCACCGGCGCGTGTTTCATCGAGCTCACTGAAATGAGGTCAGCTGAAAACAAGGATTTCTCTTGAGACCACAGGATCCAGTTACATAAGGGAATTTTTAGCAGAGAGAAAAGCATGCTAAAAGGGAAGCAGAAGTACGCTGCCTTCATCAAACTGGCTTTATTCAAATACTATTACTACTGATGTGCCTCAGAGTTGCTGTGGGAAGCACTGGAAACACTCCCGGAGACCCTCACGGGCAAACGCCGCTGAGGGGCCGGGCCGGGGGGTAACGGTCGCCCGCGCGGCCCTGAGCGCGCGCGCTGCCCCCTGGCGGCCGCCCTGGGGCTGCTGGAACACGCCGCAGGCCCCCAGGGACCGGGCCCTGCGTGTCCCGGCACCGGCACCGGCCCCGGCAAGAACAGGGAAGGAAAAATGTGCTACGTGTCTTCAGATGTCCGGGCTGAACAGGCACCGGGACCGCCCCCAATTCAAATTTGGGCACATTTTGTGTCACAGTAGCACAATGTAATGCACTCCATGCGCTTCGGTCCCTATGGCCTCCTCTGGCTGAAGCAGGGACATTGCAGATGTGATTACATTTACTAATTTACTATATATATATATAAAATATATATATATATATATATATATATATATATGCATGCCTGTGGTGCCAGGCGAGATTCAATTTAGATATTGGGAAAAATTTCTACACTTAAAAATAGTCAACCATTCAAACAGGCTGCCCAGGGAAATGGTGGAGTCACTATCCCTGGCAGTGTTCAATAAATATGCAGATGAGGCAGTTACGGACATGGTTTAACGGGTATGGTGTTGAGGGGCTTATGGTTGGACTCGATGATATCAGAGGTCTTTTCCAACCATTATGTGCATGTATATAAATGGTATCACATAGTTTATAGCACTCACCAGACACTGTGCTGGAATGGAACACATACTCTTTTCTGCAAAGCTCTTTCTCAGTGATCAGGGGCTGCCCTTTCTTTCAGTTAGGTAAAACTGTGGCTGAGGAGATAGCACCCCAAAGGCAGGGCCAAGGACAGAAACTGGGGCAGAGTGCTCTGCCCCACAGCCAGCACTACTGGCATTGGGCAGGCCCACAGCAGGCAACACGTGGGTTTACGTTCAGGATCCTGTGCAGAAAGACAGCAGGGCTGTAGCAGCTGAGCTACAAAATGAAGCCTTTACCTCCTCGTGGCTTGTAGTTTCATGGCCATTTCAGCTGAGGCCCGCACCAGAGGAGACTGCTGTGCCTGGAGTTGGTTACAGGCTTTCCTCTGCTTGGCCTCCATCCTCAGCTTGAGGTGTCAGCCAGGCCCAGCTGCAGCCCTTCCGGCAGGATGAGCAGCTCTTAGGCCTGCCACCATGTAAATGCTGGTGGTAACCTGCCAGAAAAGGTCACAAACTGACAGGTTGGTGGAACCCCAGATACCTATGACTGAAAGCTGCTAGACTTAGATGTTGTTGGTTTTACAAGTGCAGAGCCCCTTCTTGAATCGCCTCATGTTTCTCCCTGCACCAGCTTGTACCACATTTCCGTCCTACATTTACACTAAAACAGCAAAACAAGACAGTGAGACAATGAATCCAGAATGGTGATGCCTGCATGTGGCATGCTAGAAAACAAGACCTCAGTACCCAGATCTTCCTGAAATTTCAGTAGAAGTTGGGCACATCTTGAGTTGCAGTTGAGTGCATCATTAGCTCTGGCTTCTCTAAAAGCATGGTGGATGCATGCAGTTTTCCTATCACACAAGTTGGCCATTAGAATTTGTGTGTGTTTTGCAAAGAAAAATCTCTATCGTTACGAAGGACAGACAGATCTCCACCACCTTACCCCAATAGTACAAACTGCAATTTGAATCTTGCCCCAGTCCTGTTGAGGCAGAGGCCAATATAAGCACTTTTGGCAGAACATTGACAAGATTAGTCTTGGTGAGGAGACTTTTGTGAAGAAATAAGAATCATTTGTGTGGATCAACCGTTGATAAGAAACACTTGCTCTTTCCACATGAACTTGTGTTGTTTCAGTTCCTCTCCTGCCCTAGTCGTAGTTGCAAGAGTAAAGTTATACATGAGGACATTTCTGAATTAGATTGACAAAAGCCAGGAAGGAAAACTGGTGGAGAAGACCAAAATACACTGTTCCTGATGCACTGTAAATGCAGGGCACAATGAAGCTTAACAATAGTGTTTCCTAATAAGATAAAACCACTGCTATTCAAAATTTCCAAAAGAGAAAAGTATTGTGGCAAACCATGTTTTCCTCATATACAAACACATGCTTCTTACTCATATTTCAAAACTGTTATTTCCTAGCGTTTTGTGGTTAAGGCTATATGAATTCTCAATAACAGAACTCTCAGAATTTTTTTTATCCCTGACAGCTTTGGTTATATCTGACAACCAGAACATTGTAAAATTGCAAATACACATTTTGATCAAGCTAGTTGTAATTTTCCAAACATAAATACTCTAGAATCCTCTAATAAACTAACACTTAGAGAATGTCTCAAAGGAAATGATTCAAACTCACATGATGGAAATGACTTTGCAAAGTGACTGCATATGCTGAATATTATGTATTTTTCTAATTTGAGGTCTAGTAATTGAAGCACATGCTGTAGTAAGATTCACAAATGTTGGAGCATTGGAAGCAAAACAAAGTGTAACTGGCAGACAGCAAACCTTACAAGCTTTGTAGATCTACTGTCCTGACAGCTAAAATCCCTTTGGACTGTTTATACCAGTACATGTGAAGAAGCAAAGAGCAGTTTTTTCAGTAGTCAAAGCTGTTCCCAACTTCTGCAGTCTGAAAACTACAGAACGCTACAAATAAAAAGGGAAGAAAGTTAAAACAACAAGGAAATCCATTGGAGTAAAAGAAGCAGCAACAAATTGTGGAATAGAAAATGCAGTTTCTTCAACAGCTATGCAATTAGTTACGCAACTACTCTATGGTTACTATTTAGATTTTCCAGATGAGGAAATGGAGATTCACAGATGCAGGTTGTGTATGACATCAGACCAAAAGCAGACAGAATATTTTTATTATTCCGTCTCAAAATAACTGTCTCTTCAGTTAAAGATGAAGCAGATGGAAATGAATGTAAATCAAAAGCTGCCTTAGTTCTTAAGTAGCCACATACATAGCTAGACAAATCCACGGCGACCATTTCATAGTTCTTCCTCTCTCCATAGTTGTGAACAAATAAAAGGTCTAACTGGAAAATAAAATCAGGATTTGCAACACTCGTTGGAGGACTTTGAGTCCATAAAGGCAATAAGTGCAGAAGTAACTAGCAGATAAAAATATGGCAATTTAGCTTGTTTTTTACAACTTCCTGGATGAGCAATATAGGCACGTTTTACAGCCCTGTTCAGAGACAATGATTGGAAGTGGAAATTGCTTATCCTACAAGCCAGCAGCATCCAACATTTGAAGTTCGTTATGCTGAAATGAGATTGCGTAAGCACTCTTTGGGCTTTGGTGACAAGGAGGCTGAGTCACACCAGGAACTAGGGGCATAACGGCACCACACGAATGAACTATGAGAAGCCCAGGCATGTTTGTGATATGGCCTGTTCAACTCAACAGTTGAGCTGAGTTGAAAAAAAAAGTGAGTTGAGGCACTTGAAAATACTATGTACAATGCATTGTAGCGTGTTTACATTCTAAACATTCCGGAAGCCTTTCTTGGTTTGAAGTATCATACAAAGAATTATAAGAACTCCTTAAACAAAAATCCAGAAATTGTTATTTTTCAAGACACTATTCTGAAGATTAATTCTTAGCATCTTCATAGCATCTTATTTATCAGATACTGACCACATTAACAAAATTCATCTTAAATCACAGTCCTGTGTGATCTCTTTATCCATCTCAAGACATTTTTAAGTTGTCAGATTCTCATATTAATATGTAAAATGTGTAAAATTCACTTCAGGCAGAGCCAGCAATTTCTAAAAATAGCTGAAAGCTTCAGTGTTAAGCAAAATACTACAACAGAAGAAAATGATTAATCTATTAGTAAGAACACTCTAAAAGAGGATTTTTTTTTAACTAGTAAAGCACATAATGGTGAATAAAGGAATCAGTGATGATTTCTTATTTATCCTACACCCACAAAAGAGTAGGAGAAGCCTTATATAAACACAAATATAATTCAGACACACTACAAAGTCTTTACTGCACAAATTGCCACTTGCTTCGCCCGTTTCAATTCAGTCATATGTTCAACTATGTTTCGTAACATCTGTGCACGTATTATCTCTTTAGTTCTCATACCTCCATTTATTTGATGAAAAGAAAACCCCTTAAGATAGTTTATTAGTGTCAATTACTATTTTGGAATAATTTCAGTCTATAAATAAAACAGTTTCTGCAGTTTATGCACACTGTAATGTACAAAACTCCCACAGTGAAAACTCACTATTCGCTCACTGTAACTACAATCTGTTTATAAATTAATGTCTATCACTGAAATGGCCTCCGCCAGTTTGGTGATTTTTGAAATACGCCACATCTGTCAGTCAGAACTGAGACTTTTTGCCCTGCTGGAGAATGGTCAGGATAATAAATGTGGAAAAGTATCTAAATCTAGTCCTAATGCATATCTGTAATCACATCTGATTTAAAAAATGTGCATAGTATCTCCCATTTCTATTAAAAACATACAGCAAATACACAGCTAGGCGCAAACAAGATTCTTTTTCCCCAGGCTTTATTCAAAAGAGTGTTTTTCAGTTATAACTTACAAATTTTATCTGTTACTCCATGCCTTGTGTGTACGTGCCCATGCCAGTAAACATACCAGTTTATCTTGAATTTGCAAATCAGATAGTTATAGCACAAACAGACTTTCTTTCCACTCTCCAGTATTTTACTTGCAAACAGAGGGAGGAGGGGAATCTGTCAATTAGATAAATATGGAGGCAGGTTATGCTATTTTTTCAGTCAGAATTCCAGTATCTTGTAGATTTGTAGCATTATTACTGTCAAAATACTTTCAGTGACAGAGAATAAATAGCATCACAAATGGAAAAGGTTATTCATTACAGTCATTTATTAAACAAATATATTGCATAGCTATTATTTAGCAGTCCCATAAAACTAATACTTGACATTGCACTTCTGGAATTTTAAAATAATCAATTTCAGTGGCCATACAAAATTGCAAAATGATCGCCACGAACATCTATGTTGATGTTCTATTACACTGGGACACTGGTCACCTAATACATTCTGTCCATATTATCACCCCACACAGGACTTTATTATGAGGAGAATGGAATTTGTTCTATGATTACACTCTGGTGCAGCCTTCTTGGTCTTACTCTTTGTCCCAGAGCATCACTGCAAATCTGTGTGCAGACAACAGCCATGTGACTTAGTCCTTCTAATCCCTCAGGTCTCTTTTTCTCTTCCAGGCAGTTTGCTCAAGCTCATGGATTTTGCAGTTTTCATGTGAAGTCCTCACTATATGAGACAGGAGCTTCTAATCAGTAGTCAGAAAAACACAGAAGAAAAATAAAAGCCCCTTTTCAGAGTCCTTAATCCTCATCACTTGAAGGACAATGACCCACATAATCAAAAACAGGGAACCGGACTGGCAGTTCTCCCCATTTCTTAAAAATGTCTTTTGTTGTTTTCTTGCCTTCAAACACAACCACAAAATTTTTAATCTTTAGACAAGGCATGTCAAGACCTCGATGGACCATCATGTTTCCCCAAGCCTGCAAATATAAAGAAATTATATTTTAGATAAAATATATGGTATCATTAGACAGGAAAAAAAAAGACAATCAAAACAACACAGACAAAACTAACGACAAGAACTTCTTCCTTACTTGTCCACAGTCTTTACATATAATTTCCCCATTTGTCTGGTAATCAGCATGTTTTTCTTGTAGTGTCTTATTTTCTCTTGTATGGTATAGGTTTCTGAAAAACAGAAAGGAAATGCAAGTCAGAATACGTTGATATTTATGTGCTACAGATGGTTTTAAAGGCACAATAACTGCAACTGCTGGCGTCAGGCACACAACAGTCTCTGACTGCTGGGCACATTCAGGAGCTGGAAAAAGCCAGGTCATATTTCATACTCTTAGGTAAAAGTGAAATACAGCTGCATTCCACCCTGTTTTTGGTAGCATTCTAGCAGGCTAAATTCAAATGTGTTCATGTGGGGCACTTGTGTCTTAGGTCTTTCCCCATCCCAAAAAAGGAAGAGCAGGGTCTTAGTTATAACAGAGGAAAGATTTTTATTGATTTGCTTTTCAGGTGCCAGAGTGCAGTCTAAGAAGCAATACCTACAAACTAAAGGTTTTCTTTCTACCCCTTGTAGTCCAGCCTTAACCCTTAATAGAATCTCCTGATTCTGACTATCTAGAGCTTCACAGTACTCACATGTTCTTGTCCTATTTAGTTTAGGGAGGACTTCATGCTGAGAGTCACTAGCCCATGCTGAAGGGTTCTCATCTTTGAATTCTTTGAAGAGAATTGTTATAACATAGTTTAGATGGACTGATAATGCTAAGCTGAAAAAGCAGTTTCACAGTATAAGTTGTCTATGTTTATGGACACTGGCTGCCACTCAATTTTCCTTTTCTCAAAGTATGGGTGCTAATTTCTCATTAAGTCTTTGAGAAGATTTTACAAATTGTTTCAGTGATGTGTCTCAGTGAAGAACTCGGAGGGCAGTAAATTGGTAGGATGGAGTCTGCTATATAATTCATAAAGCATGACTGACCAATAATGTACAATACCCATTACAAGTTACTACATTAAGCAAATGCAAAAATTGAACAAAAATATTTTGTTTCTTAATTTGCATTATGAATGGTAAAAGCCACCTCCTTGCACTCTGACACTGAAAAGTTAAATATAGCTTAACATATGTCAATGTTTACCAAACTAGCTGTCATGGAATCTCTTGCAATGAAGACAAGAAAGAACAAGAGCACATGGGGAGGTGGGGCACTGGAATTAACATTCTCTAAGCACACAGTTGTCAGTGTCATGGCCAATATGTTGCTCATGAACCACTGGTAGTCGCTCAAGCTTTTATCCTGGGTCAATTAGTGGTTTAAATAAGTAAATGGATCTCTTTGCACTGCATAACTGGTACTCAGCTTCAGTTGCAGTTGCACTGTAGAATAGATATCAACTGACCTAGTTAATGTAACCCCAGGAACATTATCTTTTTCCCAAAGTTTCAGTCTTTGGTGAACTGGAAATTTCTTCAAACTCATTAACTGCAAACTCCCCAGATTTGACGATACTGCAATAATCTTCTCCCCGCACCACCACTAATGTAGTGCCCTGATTATCACCGGCCCTATACAGCCCTATTGAAAAGAAAAAAACATTTTTGCCTGAAAGAGATACAGTAGTTCATAAACACTTACTGGAAATCTTTTTTCACACTGACGTGATGCATGTTTTCAATAACTTGTATATCTTCTCCTGAACATACCATCTTGTGGCAGTTTTTGCACAGGAATTTTATTAGTGAAGGATTTTTCTTATATGTCTTACACTGATCTCTTTTTGTCTTCATTTTTTTTTCCATTAGACTTTGCAACTGGAAGGTCTGAATCTAGGAACAGATCAAAAAAGCACTGTAACATGCTGGTGGAGTGATAATGGGAGATTAATGTAGAGATTTGTTTTCATAAATCCTAGAACCTCACATATAAAACCTACCCTGAAAAAAAAGGTAACTTCAACTTTAAACTAAACTTTGTCTAGTATGGTATGTCTTCTAAAAGAACAATGAGATCTTAATGAAAGCAATTATTTTTCAGTTATTTTACTGAGTTCACTGACATCAGTAAATATCAGTTCTGGTCAATTCTCCCCTAATTGTGCATTTCCCCATTATCAATAACACAAGAGATATTCCTAAAGGCTCAGAAAACACAAATTATACAATTAATATTGGCAGAAGGATTCAAAGCCAGATACAGCATTTTAAGTGTTCTTCCTGAAGTAGATTTTCAAGTAGAAAGTACTCCTTACAATACAGACAACCCCTCAATAAAAGAAAAACAGAGTTGCAATAAATACCTTCTCTAAGTACTCTTTTTGTGGCATCTTCTGGACATACTGAATGGCCTTATACATCATTTTCTCACGGAAACTATTAACATCCTCACGTTCAACAGCTCCTGAGCCACTTGAAGCCACAAGGGCATAGGTGCTCTCATCAGCTCGAGCTCGACCACGAGCCTACAATTTGCAAGGATTAAAACAAAAAAGCGTTATGTTCCCTAAAACAGCACACAGTACTTTTTCAGATTTAAGGAGATCTGTGATTAGCCCAACATTTTAAAAAGCAGAACATACTTCACCAACAAAGAATAAGCTACTAAGCATCTCAGATGAGTTCACAAATTAAATGAGAACACGGACAAACTGTTACTTGGATATGCAGTTATCTCTTTTTATTTATTATTAATTTATAATTTATTAAGTATTAATTTATACATCTAATTTACCACAGAGACTGGAGAGTGCTCCCAAGGCATTTTTCCTTGGTGTATGCCTAGCAGACATACACCAAGAACATAATACCAGTTGATCCTAAGCTGGAAGTACCACTGCACTAGAAAACATGGGCATGTGAGAGGGAAATGAGATAAAAGTCCATCTTTTTCCCACTGTACAAGGATAGAAAATCAGTTTCAATCGTTCCCCTGATCATATTCTCATACCTTTTCTGGACAAACCATAAGAGCATAACAAACCATAAGAGCAAGACCATAAGTTTGTTATGAGCCTGAATGAACAGGCCTCACAGAGGCAAATTTTATATTGCATCCTGACCGAGAATGATCCCAGAGGTGTTAGCAAGGATATTTTTTTCTTTTAATATGCAGGTATTCCCAGATCACCTCCAAAGTTTAGATATATGATTCACATTGTCCAAACAGAAAAACACTCTAAAAATAAGTGAGATATGCAGTAAACTCTTACCTGTAACATAGCAATTTCATTGGTGACCAGGCCATAGCGAATAACAATGTTGCACTCCTTGATGTCTAGGCCTTCCTCAGCTACAGTAGTAGCAATGAGTAAGTTTACTCTTCCATCTCGGAATTTATCAATTACTTCCCTTTGCTCATTCTGTACATTAAGAAAATAATAATCAGGATCAGAATAATCAGGATAGTTACTTTCAGTATTAGACTCTGACATTAGTTTGGCACAGTTAATACACTGAAGAAATTGAAGCCCAAGTTTTCAGAGCAGAGTACCAAACATTAGGGCTTGGTTGCACTTAAGCATCTTCCAACACTACAAACACGAGGTCCTTATTGAATATAAGGAATGTTCTGCACCTTTTTTGAGGGAGAAGGAAACTGAAGTCTTTTTTTCTTAAGCACTGAAGATCTCAAACTGTAGTTAATAACCCCATTTCCACTGTCATGGGGAGGTTTAGTAAGGCTTTTTCATTCTCTCAGCAAGTTCTTTAAATTGTTTTTCAGGGGGGCTAAACTTCTCCATCTTCAGCGTTAAGTATGGATTTCAGCACTGCTACAGCATTTATTTACCCATGATAACTCCATCTTGTTGCTTCTGTGTGGAGTACCCAAAAATACAGTGATGATAAAGTATCCAGAATCTGGACATTTCAAACAGGCTTGAGCACAAGGACACAAAACATCCTTTTAATTGTGGCCAGAAACTTCCTGTTTGCGATATTTGGTTTCAAAAGCTAGAGATTATTGCTTTGTGCATGATACACAAATGCAAGAAAAAATGTTCACAGAAAGCAAGCATCTTTTTGAGAAGTCAACGTGTAGCATCTTTTAAATAAGAACTGAAGTAAAAACAGATTCTGTCCCACTTTTTTGCTTAAATGATGAAATGGTAACTTTAGCAGGAGTTAAAAGCAAAGTAGAAGTGAGGTCTAGCATATTGAGGTATTTATTTCTGAAAACTATTTTACTTGAAGCTACAGAACAAGAGGGAGATGCTCTGTGAGAAGTCAACACAGTGGTGTGAGATGTTGCTGAGTGAATAACTGAAATTTTTATTGTGAGTTCCGGCAAATTCTCATTCAATGATTATGTGTCAGTGTAAAGCACAGACATAAGTTCATATAAATTGATTAAGCAGCAATATCAGAAAATGTTGGGCATCATTAACACCTGAATTAATTTCTTCTTTCAACTCAGCAACTAAAATATAATTAAAATTACAGTTGCCTTGGTAAGTATAAACTCTTAACCAACAACTTTTTTTGCTACCACCATTTATTTGACTTTGTTTTCTTCTTACGCCTCATCATAACTTATATCCTTTCTAACTATATACTGCTCTAGGAGATAACTACCTGCTAAGTCTCACAGAATCTAAGCAATAAAAACACTTGTTTCTTGTGGAAAAAAAATTAAATGCTGTTATTTTCCTAAGCTGCAGCTTCTCAAGGTAAGCTGATGACAGGTATGAGACTAGAACATTGGGTTCTAAACTTCATTTTATAAATACTGGTTTTAAAACAAGCTGTTTCCTCAAAGCTCATATAAAATTTTAACACTGTAGTGCAGAATTCTATACCTGAGTCATAGGTTTAGTTTCACTGTTGTGCCCAGCACCAATAAGATATTGAGCTTTAATTCCCACTTCTTCAAACTTTTTGTTATCCTTAATCCACTGGAGCAGAGCAGTAGCGCTTTGCCGGGTTTTGGTGAAAATGATTCCTCTTGGTTCATCAGTCTTTGTGAACTCCTCCATCAAAGTGTTTCGCAACTTTGTTAGAGTCTCATTTTCATATTCGGACTTTTTAGCCAACTCTTTTAGCTGTTTCTTCTTTTCTTTAAAGATAACAAATGTAAATTAAAAAAAAAAAATCAAAAAGAGCAATTTACTGTATCATCCTCCCAGCATGGCTAATTCACACCCATCAGGAAGAGCTGTGGCATGTCAATTTGTTCTTCAAGTTAGTTTATATTCATTAAAAGCACACTAATCTATCAAAATAAATCACCACAACACTTTACCATACCTTTTGGCTATATTCCATGGTGAGAAAAGGGGAAAAAAAAAATCCTCTTTCTAGATACCAAGAGAAGTGGTACAGTTAAGTGCACTGTATTTAAGGGCTAAATAACAGCTTATCAGTTTTAAAATAACTGAGGTCTCATGTGGAGAAACATGAATATGCACAGCTCTCAGAGCTGATATATTCCTATAAACTTACGCAACAGATATGCTCCTTGGAATACTCAAATCAGGAATCCTCACCGGAAACTCACAATGTAAAAGACAGTAGAATTGGCACTTTATTATCTATACTGTATAAAGAAATTTAAATAGATAAATATTAGATAATGACTCTTCTATTGGAGCTACTGAGCGTGACCACTACCAGGGAGGTCTCCTATCACTTTATATATTTCTTTAATTTTTTTTTTTTTTAATTTTTAAAGTCCTAGCTCATAGTCCTTCAGTGATAAAACCAGAACAAATCTCTGAAGTATGATTTATTTTTCACTATCAGGTTCTTTGAACTTCATTTACCTGCAGAAATGAAAACAAATTCAGACAACTAAAATTTACTCTAATTACTTTAACTTTTGGATTCTTAAGTAATAATAGGTAATTCAATATTTGAATATTGAAATTTTTAAGAAGGAGGCACTATCCATGAGCATTATGGCACGTGACCTATTCCTGCATTGTGGGCAATAAATGAAAAAAAGAGGCAAAAATGATTAGTGTGTTAAAGATTAAATGAATCACAGTAAAAAATAACACTGTTGTACTTATCAGGCAAAAAGGAAGTGCCTGATACTTGGGACAAAGTTGAAGAATGTCTATTACACACCAGGACACAATCAGACTTTACGATTTTGCTTAATATAGTCCTTAATGTACGAACTAGGACATCCAAATGTCATACTAAATAACAGAGCAATCTTTAGAAACTAACAATTAATGCAAATTTTGTTAGTGCACAGTAGTTAGTTTTATGAATTTCAAATATTAAATATCAGTACGTTTTTCAAACTTACCATAAAACAAACCAATTAGAAATTCATCTGTTTCGTCTTGTTTTGATACTGTTGGTTCATCCTCATCATCACTCACTACTGTTTTTTTGCTTTTTTCCTCCTTGTAAAAGTTACGCAGATGACTGTATGCATCAACCATTCGAATAGTGTCATTTATTTGCAAAGCATCGTTGTATTTCTTCAGGTGCTCTGCACAGACACGTTGCTTGCGTTTTTCGTCTTTTGCCGCTAAAAGCAGAGAGAACACACAGAAAACCAAGCTGTGCATATGGAACGATCCCAAAAGCCCGAAGCCTGGAAACCTTTCCTAGCCATTTACCTTTTTTCTCCTCTCTAATCACCCACTGTTCATAGGGTTGAGTTCCAAACTCCGATTTTGGATAGAGCTGGCAATAGTTTTGAATGTCTTTCATGATGTCGATAATTTTCTCTCTAAATGGATCCTACAAATAAATTGATTACAAAAACAAGTAAATATTTTTCTTCTGGTAATCAGAACAGTAGACTGAACTC